CCTACTCCTGCCAACCTAACGGTTTGAAAGCACATCAAAGTAAAAGTAGATAAATAGGTACCACTCCAGCGGGAAGGTAAACAGCATTTCCGTGCGCTGCTCTGGTTCGCCAGAAGTGGCTTAGTCATGCTGGCCACATGACCCGGAAGCTGTACGCCGGCTCCCTCGGCCAATAAAGCAAGATAAACGCCGCAACCCCAGAGTTGTCCGCGACTGGACCCAATGGTCAGGGGTCCCTTTACCTTTATGATGGGGAAAACAAGGAAATTAAAAAACCGAAATTGACAGGCTCACCTGTCCCTAGATGTAACTGTCAATAAGAAAAAGGGGAAGCCAGATCCGGTGGACAGAAGGGCACATAGAAGGACAATGATCATCCTTACGTCTTGAAAAAATTGAGTACCACTGACCAGTACCAATTTTTAAGGTACCAGTGTAGGGTGGCTAGATGAAGAAAAAGACAGCACTGCAACCCCTTTAACAGTAATGTAGAAGTGGGAGTGGGGGATATGGGGTGTTCAAGGAGGGCTAGTACCTCTGACGGGGGACATGCCGTGCTCCTTCTGGGGCAGTTTGTGCACCTTTGGTCCCCACCCTGTACTCAGTTCTCAGCTGCAGCTCCCAGAAGCTGTCAGCATGCGACAGCGGCCATACCTCAGTAAAAGGGGTTTGAGTGGCCAGCAACACAATATTTACAGCTCAAAGGCCAAACATTTTGTTTTTCCTTCTAAAGGATAGCACTCAGAGATTGGTTGTGTGGTAGTAAGCTGTAGACATCAATGAATGACAACAACACCGTTTTAAACTCAATGGACTTGATTGGACCTCGGCCTCATTGAGGGAAAGACTGGGCTCTTTTATTGCTCTTCTAATAGAAGACTGGATGAAAACACCCACTTTCATGTGACACAAGCAAGCAAGCGTTATGATGTGGGGAAGTTTGTTATGAGTAAAGGTACACTACTAGGAAAAGAATTCATATTAGTATGTATGTCTGGTCCATGTAACTCACAGGGGAAATTCTATCACCGTTCAGTTAGATGAATTTCATAAAGGAAAAATAATTATGGCAGGTGACTTCAGTGGAGTTATGGATTCAAAATTGGACAGGAAAGAAAATTATGAGAAACTTACCTAAAAGTTGTTGTTTTTTTGAACAAATAAATGAATGTCAAATGATGGACCCTGGCAATATCTAAGCAAACAGGATAAATATTTTACATGTTATTCTCTGGTTGATAAATCAAATTCTTAATTTGATTTTTTTATATATTGTCTCCAAAGTTTCTAACAGGAATTTGCTCAGTTAGAATTTAACCTGAGTTTTCTGAAGATCACACCCTGATTTCTTTTATATGGATGAATAAGGAAGCAGCTCCTTCTAAGCAATAATAACTGAATACACTTGAAGAATAACATTAGTAACATCAGTTAGAGAAGAAATCAGGGATTGCTTTAATTGTAATGTGACATGTAATATGACTCGGCCAACAATATGAAATGCCAGTAAAGCGTAAATAAGGGAAATCTTTTTGAAACAAAGATATCAAAAATCAAAAGAAAAACAAATGACCAATAACAGACCAATAACAAAATGTAGCTCAGCCAGATAATGTAAAAAGTATCCAGTGTAGCCTTGCCTTGCAATGCTGAAGATGCAGTGTGACTTTTCCAAAATAGCAAGATTCCAAATGCTCTTACACCAAAGCATTATTAGTATTATCAATCAATCAATCAATCAATCAATCAAATATGCTGGCCTATACCTGCAGGTCTAAGGGCAGTTCACAAGATAAAATCACAATATAAAAGCACAAAATACAAAAACAAAAGAAAAAGAAAAAGAACCCAATAATCCCCTCCCTCCAACACATTTTAAAAGGGCATTGGATGTCAATCAGCCAAAGGCCTGGGTAAGGAGGAACGTTTTTGCCTGGCACCTAAAGGTGTATAATGAAGGCGCCAGGTGAACCTCCCTGGGGAGCACATTCCGCAAATGGGGAGTCACTGCAGAAAAGGTCCGTTCTTTTGTCGCCACCCTCCGGACCTTTCATGGAGGATAAATTCCAAGTCCTGTAATCTTTTCTATTTCTATATGATGGACCAGCATGTCACAACCAATAAGAAATTCCTGCATATGACACAAAACACATTCAAATTTTATGTAAATAGGTATCCACTTTTGCCGGTGGATTGGAGTGGTCAATCAACATGCAGTATACTGAGCTCAGCATCTCAACTCACCTGATTAGTCTACCCCACTATGGTCAGATGTATAGTATTTATTCAACTTTCAGCAATTATTTGTAAACAGTATTTTTTTAAGGCATATGTAATTTTCATGCATACCTGTGTCATGTCTTCTTTTTTCTTTTGGTGATGAGTGCCATCTTTCGGTGATAACTGTGTTAAGTGCTCACCCTAGCATCCTGTGTCTATTGTGCAACCCTATGAGAGCAGCTCGGCGATATCTCCAGATCTTGCTACATCTGTCTTGCATGCCCAGAGGCTTCAGAGAAGAGCCTTGTATGGGCCAAAAATTGCACAACCTGCTAAAGACTTTGGGCAGACTCCAATGATTCATTGCTGGCTCTGCCACAGTTTCCCCCCCTCAAATAAAACCATTCTAATTAATATCACCCACAGCCCCCCAACTCACCAACCTGTTCCATGGCATGGCCCTGATCTGCAGTCATCATCTTGGGGGGGATTTATGCTGTCTGAGGGATCCATCCCTGAAGCAATTGAAGGGTGAGGCTAGCTTCTCTTTTTTAAAAAACCTATCTTTTAGCAAACAGTTTAAATTGAGTTTTAAAAAATATGGTCTTCCCAGCCAGGCCTCTCCTTCTTGTCAGGCCTCTCCTTCTCCTTCCTGCCCCCTGATACAGCACAGTGCAGGGTCAGATCCTCCCACTTGATCTTTCATGAGCAGCTTCCCTGCCTGCAAGGGAAGCTGCTTGCAAAGGAGCAGTGACCAAGACTGTGGCAATTAGAGACCTGCAGCTAATCTTGCACCAGAGAGTTGCCCCATTGTATCAGGAGACATTCTGACCTTACGGTACCAGGAACAGCCTTACTCCTTATCTTGTTCACCACATACCAAAGTGTATGCATAATACAGAAGAGGCCCACGTGCTACAGGAAGGTGCTCAGAGAGTCCTTTGCTTGCTTGCTTAATTAATATGCAATTAACCAGAGTCCTTATATGGAATCACTAGTAGGGCGTTATCCCAAATGATTGGAAGGTACTCCATGCGTATGTATAGTCTTAACAGATAAGGGGAAAGTATATTAGGAAGCCCCCTTCTTCGGGAGAGGTGATCAGTTCTACCAGTTTGAAGGCCACTGTATTCTGAACCAGATGTACAGTGGTACCTCAGGTTAAGTACTTAATTCGTTCCGGAGGTCCGTACTTAACCTGAAACTGTTCATAACCTGAAGCACCACTTTAGCTAATGGGGCCTCCTGCTGCTGCCGCGCCGCTGGAGCATGATTTCTGTTCTCATCCTGAAGCAAAGTTCTTAACCTGAAGCACTATTTCTGGGTTAGCGGAGTCTGTAACCTGAAGCATATGTAACTTGAAGCATATGTAACCCGAGATACCACTGTATTCTGAACCAGTCTTCACATTCTGCTCCTTGGAAAAATCTCATCTGGATGTACCTTGGGTTACATACGCTTCAGGTTACAGACTCCGCTAACCCAGAAATAGTACCTCTGGTTAAGAACTTTGCTTCAGTATGAGAACAGAAATCGCACAGCGATGGCGTGGCAGCAGTGGGAGGCCCCATTAGCTAAAGTGGTGCTTCAGGTTAAGAACAGTTTCGGGTTAAGAACTCACCTCCAGAACGAATTAAGTACGTAACCAGAGGTACCACTGTGACAAGGTGTGGTTAACTGGCAAGATCATGTTCTTCTAGTGAGGGGCCGCTTCTGGCACACCAACTGAAGCTGATGAAAGGTCTTCAAGCCATACATGCTGCTTGGGTAGCTATCTACCTGCAAGACCAGAATGGCCTCAGGGGACCAGATGTGAATGAAATTGGCTTGTAGATGACAGTCAAGGGAGAACACTCCTCTTTACAATTAGCACACTTTCTGTCCCCAAACCTATTCTGAATATCATTGAGGGCTTCCATTTAAATAGAATTCTTCCATGCCCAGTACACAGTGTCGATAATGTGTGTTTGTGTGGCAGGGCGGGGAGTTGAGGGAGCCAAAACATCACCTTCTCTGCTTCTTAATGAGTGGTGCTGCTTATGTGAAATGACCCCTGCCTTCCTAAACACACAGCAATCTAATTTGAACCTGTGTGCCAATTACAGGCCTCTGCGGAGCACTTTGCTATGAAACAATCAAGTCACAATAGGATTAGAACGGCGTCGGAGGGAGACCACGAGGGAAGGCTGAAAAGCCAGCATAACTGCAGGCCGGTTCCTTCAAATTGTCTATAAACAGCTTGATAGCCACCTCAGCGGCGGCACCTTGCTATTGTTTCAATAAATCCTCAGCTGAATAACGCAAAATGAATAGATAGGAGGTCAGCCATCATGTACTGCACTTATGAACAATGTTCACAAGCATGGGCATAAATTAACAACAGGCAGTTAGCCAAAAAAGAAGAAGAAGAAGAAAGAGAAAGAAGAGGAAGAGAAAGAGAAAGAGAAAGAGAAGGAAAAATAGATGCAACCCTGAACAGTAGCTCAGGTAATCTATTTTTATTAGTGTTGTTTTCAAAACTATAGGCATTTTTATACACATTTTCCTCTGCCATATGTACTCTTTTCTCTTTATGAAGAACTGCACCACAAAATTCAGAGAAGTGCGAGTTTTGAAGGATCGCTGTGTTTCGGTATTTTTTTTTGTTTCTGAAGTGCCTCTTGCGTATATTCACATTAAAAAATGCCAATACAAATGTTTTAAGTTTTGTGTCAAACAAGTATATATTTTATTGAATGACATTGTATACATTGCAGCAGCCTTTGGCTATAAGCAATAAACTTGACTGACTGACTGACATTAAAAATGCAAACGAACCCAATTATGAACTGCCCTGAGATCTTCGGATGAAGAGCAGTATATAAATTGAATAAATATTAAACTGATAAGAACAGATACTACACTTGATCTTAGCCAAAAAAATACAACATAGATGGTATTTAACACCTGAAAGAATAGCAAAAATGAATAAAAATTGTAGCGATGTCTGCTGGTGATGCAACACTGGAAAAGGTACTATGATACATATATGGTGGAACTGTTTAAACATCAAATAATTTTGGGAAACAATTTATAACGAAATGAAAAAAATGTTCAGATATTCATTTAGGAAAACACCAGAAGGTTTTCTATTGGGAATAGTACCAGGAAGCCTAAAGGAAGAAGACAAGACCTTATATTTATACGCAACAGTAGCCGCAAGGCTATTGATTGCGAAAAATTGGAAAAGCGGTATTGCACAGACAAAAATAGAGTGGCTTGCCAAATTATTGGAGTACTACAATATATCCAAAACAATGGGAGAAATTGGAAGGATCTCAAAAGAGAAGATAGATAGGGACTGGAAGGTGTTTAAAAGATACTTGCAAAACCATATCGAAAAATCAGAACTCCTATTAGAATGAAAAGTTCCGTTTCAAATACTGAAATACTAAATAATATGGATAACAATGTGTAACAGAAAAAGAAGTATGAAATTAGGTTAAAGGTGTGTGAAAGAAAGCAATAGAAGTGGAAAGAAATTGCAATTGAGTAGTTTGGAAGTCAAACACAAAGGTGGGGTGAGGGGTGGTGGATGGTGATGGGAAAATGAATTATTTGTGGGATTGTGTGTAGGTATGTTTGAACACTTTTAAGGATTGTATGAAATGTATGTTGTATGCTTGTATATTTGTAATATATGTGTATTAAAAATTCTTTTTAATTAAAAAAGAAGAAGAAAAATAATAATAATAAATTGAATAAATATTAACTAATAATAATAAAATTTCTTCCCCATTCCTACCTCTCCACTCCCCCATCAAGGTGTATAGTGCCTAAGGCCGGTTGAGTTATCTTGGCACCTGAGGCAGAAAATCCCATAATTGCTTCTCCTCCTCTCTGGTATAGAAGGTACCACAATGAACTAAATAACTAACCATTTCCTACCCGATCATGACACCCAAAATTCAGGCACGAGGTGGCCACCTCACTCTGCCTAACTGCAGGACCAGTCCTGCTTTTAAAACAAAGCTGGAATCCCTCCAATCGGCTGCTCAGGAAGACAAATGGGTAGCTTCACCAACTAGCTGTTCAACTGAACATGATCCCCTCTCCCCAAACAGCTATGTATACGCAGCTCCAGATACTCTGTTCATGCTCTGTTCTGAGGGATAGAAATTGTGGAGCCTTCCAGAAGCCGCTGGACTCCAGTTTCCACCAACCCTGAACATTAACCATGCTGGTTGGGGGAGCTGGTGTCACCTAGATTCTGAAGGGCCACCCTGTTCTGTTAGATTAGAGACAGCATATTTACTGTGTCTTTAAAAAGGCACTGGTAATCAGCCTGAATTAATCTCTGCTGGTCAGATCAGTGTTTATACATTACTCCCCCCCCCTTCTTGCAAATCATAATATTATTGAATCTGATCAAGTGTCCAGTCTAGGGAAAAGAAATCCAAATGAAACCAATCCTAAGTGTTCTTGCTTGCTTGAGTATCCACAGACTATGAATATTTGATCTCTTAATTGTAGCAGTACCCTGAATGACATTTTAAAACCTCTGATTTTATTAAGTTTCATCTTAATAATTTAATTAAGTAAAAACCAAGATAAGAGGTTTAGTAGCGTGCATTTTGAAATTAATGAGCTGAGTGCCAGAGGATGAACTGTATATTAGAGGCTTGAAGTGCACATACAACCCTAATTAATATAATCTAGCTTTGGTATAAATGCATTTGATAATCCTACATTGTGCAGTACTTACATCTACTTTACAAAGAGCAATCAGAAAGCCTGGAATAATGAAGGCATAGATCATAGCTGTCAGCAGAGGGGAAAATAATTGTTTTTAATAAGCAATTCTGAGATTAAAGAAATATAAGGTTCTCAAAGTTTTGAAGTCATTTTTATTTTTAATTAGAGGGGTTACTTGGTTCTTGCATTCTATCTCGCAGCATCACAGGCCTGTCCTCAAAGCATTCCACCCATGCAGGCCACATTAAAGCAAGCAAGGCATGCTTTTGTGGAAGTTTTAGATTATTAGATCAGCAAGATCAACAGGGGGGTGCAGCCGAAAGCACTTCCTGGTTTTCGCTACTGTTTCAAAGGTGGAAAATAATGAAACTTCCCACTTTTTTGAGAGAGAAAGAGAGTTTTAAATTTTTATTATTTTTTTTTAAATGTACACTCTTTACATCAGAGGATTTTACAACCAAAAAAAACCATAATACAAACAAGAACATGACTTTGCTTTTCATTCATGTTAATCTCCTTCTTTTAACTCCTTGTTCTTAAATCACATGTATATCTTTAACAATTTTCCAAATGTTTCCCTATAGCTCCCTCCCCCCGTTCCCATTACTTACCTTCACCCACGTGCGATCTTCTCAACCTAATATTGTTTCTCGTTGTGTTAACAAAAGTTTGTATTTGTTGTTCCATATATGTCATGATATCTTTGTGCATTTTTCCTATTGCATGTTAAATTTAAGCTCCAAAACCAAATCTTTCCATGTATTGCTTTATGCACTCCAACTCTTTGTAAATTTCTTGGTTGGAACAGCCTCTAATTGTCGCCATTAATTTTGCCATCTCAACAAGCGTTTTGCCGCTTCCATGCGTGCGTGTGATGTCCTTTTGAGCATCTGCCATGCGCGAGCGGCAAAACCCAGAAGTAACATGCTCTGTTACTTCTGGGTTGCCACGGAGCGCAACCCAAAAGTGCTCAACCTGAAGCACATTCAACCTGAGGTATGACTGTACACGGCATAATAATAATAATTTATTCTTTATACCCCGCCCATCTGGCTGGGTTTCCCCAGCCACTCTGGGCGGCTTCCAACAGAATATTAAAATACAATAGTCTATTAAACATTAAAAGCTTCCCTAAACAGGGCTGCCTTCAGATGTCTTCTAAAAGTCTGGTAGTTGTTTTTCTCTTTGACATCTGGTGGGAGGGCGTTCCACAGGACGGGTGCCACTACCGAGAAGGCCCTCTGCCTGGTTCCCTGTAACTTGGCTTCTCACAGCAAGGGAACCGCCAGAAGGCCTTCAGCAGTGGACCTCAGTGTCCGGGCAGAATGACGGGGGTGGAGACGCTCCTTCTGGCATGTCCAAAAGTTGCAGGATATCTACATCTGCCTTTGTGGTTTGGCTATGGGGACCAGCTAGTGCCTTCTGCCACTTGAGCCTGACGGACCGTACAATTTTCATTGGAGGCTATTCTCTAACTCTCACCACCATCTGTGGTTAGGCTAACAGTGAATGGAGAGAGGGTCTTCTCAGGCAAAGTGCACTTGGCTCCTATTCTGATTCATTCATATATTTGGCACCAGGCAAAGAGGGTCATTGTTATCATTTGCTCAGGGATTGTAGCATGCCGGCAGCTGGGTTTCACTGGTGGCGCATGGCTGTGATAATCAACAAAGTGCCTTCCAGATGTTGTTGCATGATAGCTCTCATCATCCCTGACCATTGACAATTCTGGCTGCAGCTTATGGGTCTTGTAGTCCAATAGCATCTAAAGGGAAGGCACCACATTGGCCAGTTTGCTCACTTATGGTTTGGTTGGCTTAGAGAATGACAACACTGCTGGTCTGCTTCCTTTGAAAGTTATTGCATTGTTTTTGGCTTGCAACTGCAGGTGGTCCTGGGAGCTTGTTGTGCTGAAGGATAGCTCCCAAATCCTCTAAATATCCAGCACAATTCACCTGCAATACTGTTAACCTTTCACAGCTTGGAAATGCAATCTTACGCAATTTATTTTTAGTCTTACTGTATTAGGTCTCATGTGGGACGCGGGTGGCGCTGTGGGTTAAACCACAGAGCCTAGGACTTGCCGATCAGAAGGTCGGCGGTTCGAATCCCCACAACGGAGTGAGCTCCCGTTGCTCGGTCCCTGCTCCTGCCAACCTAGCAGTTCAAAAGCACATCAAAGTGCAAGTAGATAAATAGGTACCACTCCAGCGGGAAGGTAAACGGCGTTTCCGTGCGCTGCTCTGGTTCGCCAGAAGCGGCTTAGTCATGCTGGCCACATGACTAAGCTGTACGCCAGCTCCCTCGGCCAATAAAGTGAGATGAGCACCGCAACCCCAGAGTCGGTCATGACTGGACCTAATGGTCAGGGGTCCCTTTATCTTTACCTTTATTGGGTCTCATGTACACAACTTAGAGACTACGATGATTAAGCGCTATACAAAATGTTTAAAGAAATCAATCAATTTTATTGTAGCTTTTCAACACATCATACAATAAAAACCAAACGAAGCTAATATATAAAAAGAGCAAAATAATAAAGGAAAAGAAGAGATGGCGGGGGGGGGATCACACCCATACAGAAAACAACAAAATGTTATATCCTATCAATATTCTATTTTAATCTTCAGTTCACAAACAGATATCAACATCTTCCCAGCTCCCTCTTGGGACAGGTTCCATCTTTCTCAGCTTCACACCCTGAGAAAAAAACACTCTATTCTGTCTCTCACACAGATCTCTTTTAATCATCTTCTCTCTGTATCTTCATATCATATCATATCATTCATATCATACTTATGTCATACTATTTAATATTAATTTTTAAAAAATTATCAAAAACTACATAATAAGAGAAGAAAACCCAAAAAGATAAAAAAGAGGTACTTCCACTCTTTGATCTGCCAATTATATGTAATAAAGTTATTTCCAATATTTGGCATATACACTCCTAGCTGTAGGTGGTATGCAGCTTTCTGCTGTCTGCTAATGGTATTTCTTCAAATTGCCTTTTACTCAGACACAGCTCTGTGTTCCATGGAGTCTTCTAATGGGTAAGCATTTGGAGTGAGTCTATTGAAATTAATGAGCATGATTAACTCAGGTTACAACATTTCAGTGGGTCTGCCCTGAGTCCACACTTCCACTGTCTCTCTCCCCTGGTGAGACCTGCTCTTTAGCACTGAAACAGAACAAAAGTCAACCG